GAGGCCGCTCTCCTGTGTTCCCCGCGAGGAGAGCCCGGGGACGCTTGCCTCCTGACCCCGGGCTGCCGCTGCGGGTGGGCGAGGCGAGTCCTCCCAGATGTTTCTTTCTTTCCTCCCCTAATGCCGGCCAGGCGGCCGCTGCTTCCCCTGCCGCTCAGCCACCTCCGTCCAGCCTGGTTCGGAGCAGGGCTCCCCGGGGCGCCGGCCAGAGGGGCCCCCGGCGGAGCGAGCTGGGAGCGGCCGGCGCCATGAGAAGCCACCACGCGGCTTTCGTCCCGGAGCCACTCGCCGGGGCCCCTCCATTTTGGCTCCACGTTTTCCCTCCGGGTCCGGGCAGCGTTGGCGCACGGGGCCCGCGGGCTTCCTTCTGAGGAGGTTGGTCTGGTGCCCAGCTCCCAGGGCTAGGCACCTGCCCGCTTGGGGTCCCTGGGTTTGTGCCGCATTTGCCCCGGCTGAATGCACTTCTTAAACATGTTCCCTCTTTGCTAGTGAAGCGCTCTTACTAGTCATTCAAGCAAAACCGGATTCCCGCTCCTTCAGGAGGCTCGGAGGCTGGACCTGTTTCTTAGAATGGTTTTTCCATAGCGCATTCCTGTTCCTGGGACCTTTCTTCCGGTTCTGGGGCGCGTTCCCAGCGCGCCCAGCATGGTGCCTGCCCTGTAATTGGGCCTGGATGCTGACCCGAGGGCCAGTCCTCTCGGGGAGGAGGCTGAAGCAGGCAGGGGGTGCAGCGTTTAAAAGCAAAATGACCTTGGTCATCCTCTAGTCTAAATAATTCAGTCGCTACAGAGGTGGGAACAGGTCCTAGGGCGTGAAATGACTCCCTTCTCCTGGGTTTCTCAGTCGTCACCGTTCGCAGTTGATGATCTAAGTAGGCAAACTGTCAAGTGGGAGGGAGCCCAGAGCCATTGCTGGGGGGGCGGGCGGTGGTTACTCACTGTCCCGAATTCCAATCAAGGAGGACAATTGTAGAAACTCCCAAGAAAGGGTCTGTTTTCAAAGCCTGTTTACATGTTTGGCATTGATAAGTACTTTGTCATTGTTTAAGATGGTTTCATGATTTTTTTTTTAAGTCCAAAGGAGCATTCTCCTTCTCCGATTCCATATTGTCGCCCCCGTGTTGTAGGTATACTTTGATTACAGTTCTTACTGCCTTTCCTTCAATGAATTCCAATTTCCTCTTTTTAAAAAATCCTCATCCGAGGATATTTTTCCATTGATTTTTAGAGAGTGGAAGAGAGGGAAAGACAGAGAGAGAGAAACATCGATGTGAGAGAAACACACATCAATTGGTTGGTTGCACAGCCTGCAAACAAGCTACGTGCCCTTTACCAGAATCGAACCCGGGACCCTTCCGTCTGCAGGCTGATGCTCTATCCACTGAGCCAAACCGGCTAAGGCTCAGTTTTCTTTTCTTTACTAATCTTGGTCAACATCAACAAACTGGGCCATTTTTAGAAGTCTCGGGCCTGAGCATTGTGGTGCTGGGGGTCTGGAAGCAAGGTTGATATTCCACCCCCTGGGTATTTTGTTACAGATGCGCCTGTTAAAGGAATTTGGGAGAAGGCAGAGGGCCTAAGAGCATCATCAGAAATGACAACTTGAGCCCTGGCTGGGTAGATCAGTTGGTTAGAGCATGGTGCCCATAGGCCAAGGTTGTGGGTTCGATCCCTGGTTAGGGCACATACAAGAATCGACCAATGAATGCATAAATGAGTGGAACAAAAAATCAAAGTGTGTGTATGTTTTTCCCTCTCCCTTTCTCTTTAAAATCAATTTTTAAAAATGTCGCCTTGAGCCCAGCTGGTGTGGCTCAGTGGTTGAGCATCGACCTATGAACCAGGAGGTCACAGTACGATTCCCGGTCAGGGCACATGCCCGGGTTGCAGACTCGATCCCCAGTAAGGGGTGTGCAGGAGGCAGCGTCAGTGATTCTCTCATTATTGATGTTCCTATCTTTCTCCCTCTCTAAAATCAATAAAAATGTATTTTTTTAAAATGTCACCTTGAGAGGTGGAAGGAAGCTCAGAGCCTCTGGAGCCCAGCACTTAGTTGCATCACTTGGAGATGGAAAGTGTGTTCAGGTCTGTATTTGGTGGCCCAGCAGGTCTAGCCCGGTGCTGCTGGTCCCTGCTGCCCCATCTTGTTTAAGAAGAATTGGCCCCGGCTTTTGGAGAGGCTGCCGGCTGGTTTCCGAGGTTGGCTGGACTGGAAGTGGAAATGTGGAAATGCAACTGTTCTCCCTCCTCCCCCCATAAGAAAGCCAACTCCCTGGCCATCTCTCTGGGCTCTTAATGTGTCTCAGTATTGTGGCTGCCCTGGGCACGAGTGTTTTATCTCAGACTAAGTTATTTTGGTTTGGAGAAGGCAAATACTGAGTGCCGCGCCACAGATCACACCTCCTAGTTTGTTTTGTAAATGACGAAGTAGAACTTTCGAGGAAGCTTTGCTAGGCTGACTTGGCCCATCACTGTGGGAATCGCATGTTAAAATTGTGGGTTGAGAAAGTCACTCTGGCCCTAACCGGTTTGGCTCAGTGGATAGAGCGTCGGCCTGCGGACTGAAGGGTCCCGGGTTCGATTCCGGTCAGGGGCATGTGCCTTGGTTGCGGGCACATCCCCAGTGGGGGGTGTGCAGGAGGCAGCTGATCGATGTTTCTCTCTCATTGATGTTTCTAACTCTCTATCCCTCTCCCTTCCTCTCTGTAAAAAAATCAATAAAATATATTTAAAAAAAAAAAAAAAAAAGAGAAAGTCACTCTGATCCATGTGAAAAATCAGAGTCTTGTACCTCTCCCAGGGAGAGGTCTGGAGAGAGAGCAAGAAGTAACATTGGAAGGGAAAAAAATTTAAAAAAAAAGTTTAAATGAGATTTCTTTGCCTGTATCTCCTCTCCTGTTCATTTTTTAAAAATATATTTTTATTGATTTCAGAGAGGAAGTTTGAGGGAGAGAAAAATAGAAACATCAGTGATGAGAGAGGATCATTGATTGGCTGCCTCCTGCATGCCCCCTACTGGGGATCAAGCCCACAACCTGGGCATGTTCCCTTGACCAAAATCGAACCCAGGACCCGTCAGTCGGCAGGCTGATGCTCTATCCCCCGAGCCAAACTCGCTAAGACTTTCCTATTCAGTTTTGCTGCCGTTGCCCTGGTGACTTCACGATCTGTGGCCAGCTTGGTCCACCAAGGTCTTCCTGGGCTCAGGTCTGGCTGTCACCGGGCTTCCTGGAAACCTCTGTGACTCCCCGTGGCCCGGACTGCAGAGTGAACCAGCACAGCGCATATCCCGGGCCCCAAATGTGGGCCCAGACTTTATTTTCCCACTCCCGCCCCCTGCGCCAGCGGCACACAGGCGTGTGGGAGCTGCTTCCAGCTCTGCCTCGTGGACCCCTCAGTTCTCGTGCCCGGGTTCCTCTGGGAGCTCTGTTATCTGTTTCCTTAATCAGAC